ACAGGGTTAGTGCTGGGTTGTAATAAAGCTGGAGCGGCTCCCTCCACACACACCCACACTACCCTACCCATCCCCATACACACGCCCCTCATACTCCCCTACTACCTATACCTATGCACTCATACACCCCACCACACTCACATTCCCCCCACCCATCCCCACACACATACCCCCCACTCTCCCTATACCTATACACCCATACACCCTACCACACACCTACTCTGCCCCACCCATCCCCATATGCCCCCCCAAGCCCCCACCCATACACCCCACCACACACACACCCCACCCCACTTCCCCTGAAGAGGGGAAATGGAGGAGCATGGCCTCAGTGGACTCCTCTTTGATTAAGATTTGAACATGGATGCATCTGAGCTGCCCCAAGCCAGGCAAGGGGGTGAAAAGCAGCTGTGCCAGCTCAGGGAAAAGGACCAGCTGGCAGTGAGGGGGCACAGGAAGGAACAGATGGGCAAAGATGGGAGGGGGAAAAGGAGCAAGAGCAAAGCCGGGCAGAGGAGAGGCCAGACATGTGGCCAGCACAGGGTTAAAGAAAGTATGTGAAACAGAACGGAAATGAAAAGCACAAGAAATACATGAGGCTTGAGCTGCTGTCAAAATGACCAAAAGAAGGGCGGCAAGGAAGGAGAGGAATTGCCATAGGAAGAAAAACTCAACTCCAGAGAAGCCTATAAGAGAAGGAATAAGGACAAAGAGGGCTCTCACTGGAGAAATGCTGAGTCTGACGGAGGAGGCGGGAAGCAAGAAGGAAGCTCCAGGGGTGACGGGGCTCCTGGGGGGTAGGGGAGACGCATCAGAGTCCAGTGATGCAGAAGCAGCCTCTGGCTAAGCGCCACTGTCTCGTTTCCTGCTTTGGCCCTGCTGCTGGGGCCCAGGCTGCAAGGTGCCTGTGTCTCTAAGCCATGCCGGCACATTACGTTTTGGACAAAAATGCATTTTTCTGGGCCCTCCTCTCAATCCAAGATCGTTTTTCCATCAACGGCATTTACCCAGTTTCAGTCTTAACTATGAGTCAAATAACTTGTGCTTTCTTTTTTTCATCTGAATGAGCAAACATATTTCCAAAGCCCCCCTGATGGCTCCCTGCAGTAAGATCTGGTACAATCAGAATCTAGAGCAAGGACGACACTAGGATTGACGCCAATGCTCAGAGTCAAGGCTCCCAGAGCGATGAGAGACGTGTTGGGGTCCGAAGAGCACTGGCTTACAGCCTGAGTTCAAATCCCGGTTCTGTGATCCAGGGCAAGTAACTCACTCGCCCTGTGCCTCAGTTTCCTGAGCTGCAAAAGGGGTGGGCTAGACAGATGGCCTCTGGAACTGGGATCTACTGTCTCAGTCGTTTCACCTCAGTTTCCTCCTCTGTAGGGAAGGAAGCAAAATGTCCTTTAAGGTTTCTTCTGACTACAAATCTGAGGTTAATAAGAGTGTCTGGACTTTGGTTAATGAGAACATGACAGAAGGTCAAGGCACCCAGATCCTCATGACGTCTGCCACTAATTACCACTCTGGGTATCTGTTTTCTTCTCTATGAGATGGAAAGAAGGAATTTCTATTTATCTCCTGAGGCAGCTAGATGGCTCAGTGGATAGAGTGCTGGGCCTGAAGTCAGGAAGACCTGAGTTCAAATCTGGCCTCAGACACCAGCTGTGCGACCCTGGGCAAGTCACTTCACCCTGTTTGCCTCATTTTCTTCATCTGTAAAATGAGCTGGAGAAGGAAAAGGCAAAGCACCCCAGTAAATCTGCCAAGAAAACCCCATGGACAGTACTGGTGATCCAGTCTGTGGGTCACGAAGCTTCCGACATGACTGACTTGAATGACTGAACAAAATCCATCTCTTACAGCTTCTATGAGGATAAAGAAGCAAAAAGATTATTCAATGCTTCAGAAAAGTAAAACTATCCCAGGAAATGAAGCATGCCAGAGCTGGTGTGGGAGCCGGGAGAGGCCCGGCTCTAGGGCCTCTGCTGACACCATGGGACGAAGGTCACGTCGCCACCAAGGGGAAAGGAAGAGCGCCGACCTCCCAGAACACGGAGGCAGCACACTGGAGCAGCAAACACAAGGCAGAGCGCTACGGGCGAGACCCCCACTCTGATGGGCTCCGCTGGTCAGACATCCAGCCGGCTTACTTGTTACCTTCAGGAAGGCAGCCAACATCAGGCAGAAATGAGTGTGAGAAATAGCTGGCTGTGCACAGGTCCAAAGAGAGTCTGGAGTAGCCCTTCTCCCTGCTCAAGGCCCCCCTTTCGTCAATGAAGGAAACTGGAAATTGCAGGGGAAGGAGAAAAAGGCCCTCGTACCTGAGTCCTGCCAGACAACACACGCGCCCAGGAGGGAAACCCACGGCCTTGAAGGTCTACACCAGTCTATACACAAACACGGAGCACAGGGGACAAGCAGAATGAACACAACATGCTGTTGTGCAGTCCGACTCCATGATCCCATCTGGGGTTTTCTTGGCAGAGATGCTGGACTGATTTCCCATTTCCTTCTCTAGCTCATTTTGCAGAGGAGGAAACTGAGTCAAACAGGATGAAGTGACTTGCCCAGGGTCACCCAGCTAGGAAGTGTCTGAGGCTGGATTTGAACTTCGGAAGACGAGTCTTCCAGAACTCTACCCACTGCGCACTGCCCAGCTGCCCCATCACGGGCTCCTGAAATACAACACATTTTGATGCCACTACATTGTTTTTTTAAAGGAATGTCTTCCTTACAAAACTTAAAATGCTTTCACGTTCTGGTCAGAAACGAAGCGTGGGCTAGTGGAGAGTAAACCAATCAGCTCAGGTCCCGCTTGGGCCCAGCGCTACTCTGGATGTGTGCTCGATGGGCTGGGGCCGGCCGGTGCTTTGCAGCTCACGAGGCAGCCTGTCCGGTCGCCTAGCCCCCACTGCCACACCAGAGAGCTGACTCTCTGCTTTCTAAAAATGAACTCTGCCGCAAACAGCATCCTGACAATTTAATAATTTGTCAAAGTTGTCGGCCCCACTTTTACGAAGAGAGTTCAAAGGTAAAGGGCACTGAAAGCACGAGTGAATCTGCTGACTGAGAACACCTGGCAAGTGACCAAACGCACCATGATCGGCCGTGGCTGCTCCAAACGGGCTGGGCTGCCGGCCCTTCCCCCACCTGCCCAGGCCACGGCTCTCCCGCGGATCACGGCCCGGGAGCCCCTTCGAGGAGGTGGCTGTGGTTCTGCAGCAGCTCCTGCTTTTTCAAACTTGGACGCAAAACAGAATTTAGAATCAGCTCTTCATACACCTGCCAATCAAGCCTCAGCATGCGAGTGCTAAGAAGCTCCCCTGAAAATCTCCAACAGAAGTTTCCATCAGACAGGCCCTGTTCTCCCTTCTCAATCCCAGGTGAGCACGGCTACAGGCCAGCATCCTGGCAGCTAAGAGAAGACGCCGAGGCACAAACAGCCAGGGCTCATCGCCCTCTCTCGCCTCCACCCTCTCCCGATGCCATGGGACGCACATGACCCAGCCTGCCACTTAGGGAAGCAAAAGTTACAGCACAGAAGGAAACCTTTCCAGTCACTCAGACAATACTGCCCCTCGCGTACCTCTGGCTCAAACGAAGCAGCCTGCCTTATTTCCCCCTTAACTCTGACTCGGCAGAGGGCGCACATGCAATCCCATGTGCTCCATCAGCTAGTGACCTTACAAAAACTCCCAGACCGAAGACAAGTTCATTTCAAAACCCCTGTGACCTTCACTGGGCATCCTGAGGCAGCAGATGTCCCCACCTCTGCTGAGTCCAGGGAGCTCATCACTGGCCCTCCTGCCTCACAGCGGGACAGAGCCGCCTCCAATCTGAGGTCTGACACCGGTCTGTGTGCTCCTGTGACGGGGACCCGGGGAGGCCGCCCAACACAGAGAGCCTCCTTAGGCAGAGCTGGTCTCTGTGGGACGTGTCTTCTCTGGGCTCTGACTAAAAGCCTTGCCCACCCTGGCTGTGGGGCTTATGCCCATGGGCCAAACCCAAGAGGATCCAGAGGAGCACACACAGTGTGAGGGGCCTAAAGATAGGAGATCGGGCCTCAGACCCTCAGACATCCCCGAGCTACGTGATCATAGTCAAGTAACTCAGGGCTTCAGTTTCCTCTTCTGTAAAGCAGAGATATTATTACAGTGTGGAATACAGCTCAAGAGTTGTGGGAGGAAAATACCCCTGAAACCTGAAAGCCCTCTATAAATGTGGCCCATGAAATTTTCAAAGCTAGCCTCATGTTGAGGTCTACCACTTAAAGGCACAGATTGTGATGAATGCATAAAAATGTGCATAATTACAAGACAACACAAATCTCAGACAACACCATGCCTGACTGGTCTTCTCTTGGTAATTCTGTGAAGGCACAGTATAGAGGTCTGAGAGATGACTGTAGTGTGAAGAACACTGAGAATTTTCCTAAAACTTTCCCAAAGGCATCATGGCTACAGTTGTCTACAGACTGTCCCTTCCCGCATGATGTCTGCTCATGTCTGACACAGGTGCTGCCGAAAGGACAGGCAGGTGAGGCCGTCAGGAGAGGAGGCCCTTCCAGGAGGGTCACCCTGTCAGGAGGGAACACTGCAAGTGTGCCCCCAGGGCCCTGCCTGGGAAAGTCTGGAGAGCTGGGCCCCTAGAAGCCCAGCCACCCGGGGAGGCAGGCTGCAGCCTGGCCGCCACGTCATTTCATGAAGGGCACACGCCACTACCTGTCACATCTGTCTTCTCTCCCCCTGCTCCAAGCAAACAACCCTGGAAAGCCTTGAGACTAATCTTTCTTCCTCACCCAAAGAGTCATTTCTTTTCCCTTTAGCATGACTTCTGAAATACAGTTTGTGAAATTAATTGACAATATCTTAAACTTTTCAAAATATAGGAAGCTTTACCAAGAAAAAAGACTCAAACAAAAACTTAAAAATGTCATGACTAGATGAGGAGAAACCCCAAACGCTCCATTTGAGGCTCAAAAAGCATCACTTGCCACTCACCTTCTTTCCTCCGGTTACAAACTGCTTGCAATGGGACCTCAAAAACTGGGGGTGAATCGCAATGATCTGCAAAGGAAGAGAAGCAGAGGGATATGAAAGAAGACCTGATGCCTTGTGGGGCAGGAGCAGCGGTGCCTTCCCATGGGGCCACGAGGCCACATGCTCCAGCGCCACTCCCTGCCTGGGGATCCTCGAGGCCCCCGTGGCGCCTGAGGACACCTCCCAGACTGCTCGTAGTAGCACATGTGCCAGGAGACACCAGCAGGATGGGCGCTGGGTTTTCAAGGGCACAAAACTATAAAAGAGCCAGTGAGGACGCCTCGAGGGCGCAATGATCTCCCCACAGACTTCAGCTCTCCTTGGGTAACAAGCCACTCCTGATCCTCACTTTCCGGCACACCTTCGCATCTTCTTACATTTGCTGACCCTATGAAGGGGGTAGCAGAGGTGCCCATATTCCCATTTAACAGCTTTGAAAACAGAGGCTCAAAGAGATGACTTTCTCAAGGTCAACTAGCCACAAATGTGGAATCAGGACTGCAGTGGAATCAGGCTCGTAGCCCTCAGCTCCTTCCAGCGTGAGCACTGTCCCCTGACCAAGGGCCCTCCTTGGTGTTCCTAAGCACACCCCGCAGCCTAGCCCGTGCATGACTGGGCTTCCCCCCAACGCCCGGGACATCAGTGGGACATCACCCCCTGGTGACGCATTGTGGGGGCATCTACTACCTCCCAAACTTTCTTTGAAAGAGAAATGGGTTTTCATGCCATTATCGAGGCTGGCAGAGACTCCTTCTAGGGACTCCGGGGATCCTTCTCGGATGCTAGGATCCCACCACATACAGCTTGAGGCAAAGCAGGATGCCTGCTTGGAGTTTAATCCCATCTCAGGTCTGCGGGCCCACGGGCACACAACCCCCTTCACCCTCTCTGAGCCTCAGTTTCCTTATTGGTAAAATGGGGATAATAACACCTAGATGACCTGCCTCACACACATATTGTGAGGCTCCCATGAGACAATCTAGGAAAGTGCTTTAGAAACAACAGTTCTTCTGCAGACAATGGGATCATGTTCAACACATCTGCAACGAAGGATAATGAACTTCCTCATGTCCTCCTGAGTGTGTATAAATTCTCATAAAAATATCTCTAATAACTGACTGTAAATCTTAGTGTCTTCCTTGGTAGCCGAGAATCCAATGAGCAGTCCCATTAAAAACTGGCCAGTAACCTCCCACTGGCCCTGAACGGAAGCCAACCCTCATAGAACCTCTTTCCACCCCTCCATCCCTCCCCTCCTCTCCCATAAACCAACACATTTGGCCAGCTTCCTTGTCCCCTCTGGGTACCAAGCTGCCCCAGGATGTCAGGTCTCAGCATCAGACCTGGTTCAACACCCAATTCCACCTCGGGCACTCCCTAGCTGTGTGGCCTTCTCTGACCGAGCCTCCACTTTCTCCTCTACAGAATGTGCAGACGGACACACCTGTCCTGGGTAACTCACAGGGCTGTGGCTGCTGAGAGAAAAGCGCTTTGTAAACCTTGAAGTGCTGGAGAAATTCCTTCCCAATGTCCCCTTCCTATTTTCACCCTCCTGCCAATCTAGGGAAGGGCAGCTCAGCAGCACAGTGCATACAGCACTGGGCTCGGAGTCAAGAAGACATCTTCCTGAGTTCAAATCTAGTCCTAGACACTTACTAGCTATGTGACTCAGGGCAAGTCACCTCACCCTTTTTTGCCTCAGTTTCCTCATCTGTCAAATGATCTGGAGAAGGAAAAGGCAAAGCACTCCAGTATCTCTGCCAAGGGAACCCCAAATGGGGTCATGAAGAGTCAGACATGGAGTGTGAATGCAGATTGAAGTGTTCCATTTTCTTTTTTTGTTTGTTTTTTCCTTCTCATGGTTTTCCCCTTTTGTTCTGATTTTTCTTTCACAACATGACTAATGTGGAAATATGTTTAACATGATTGTGCACGTATATAACCTATCTCAGACTGCACACTGTCTTGGGGAGGGGAGAGGGATGTGGGAAATTTAGAACTCAAAATTTTATAAAAGTGGAAGTCGAAAACTCAACTAAAGAAATAATTTTCTTTTTAAAGAAAAAGGGAAAAACCAAAGAGTCAGACAGGACTGAAATGACTCAACAAGCACCAATTTAGGCCCCTCTTCTACCTCCCTCGGCCCACGGTAACAGGCTCCCAGGATCTGCCTAGCCAGGGCCTGAGGCCATCAACTCCAACCACATCAGTGCCTCACTTTACAGATGAGGAAACTGATGCATCAGGGTTCAGTGACTTACCTGGGCAGTGATGAACCCAGGTTACCTGACTTCAAATTCAGCACCTGCTGCCTCTCAGAAAGCAGTCTCATCACTGGTCTCGCCACCTCCAGTTTCTCCCCATCAGTCATCCTACACATAGCCTGCCCCCTGCCACATCTTCCTGAAGTTTGGCTATATGCCAGTCCTATGCCCAAGAACCTCTACTGGTTCTCCATGACCTCCTTACCCCAGCATTCAAGGCCCTCCACAATCTGGCTCATTCTAATCTCCTTTTCATGCTTATCTCCCCCTACTTACATGCACTTTCTCCCTGAACAAGCCTCCTCTCAGTCTGACCCACACCCTGCCTGCCCCTCTCACCCAGGCCAGCCCAAAGCCTCCCTCCTGAGACCCTGAGGGAGGAGAGGCTTTAGTTATCATCTGTCCCCAATCCCCCATTTCAGGTATAAGGACGATGGGGTCTGGAGCAGTTGGATGACCTTCCCAACAGCTGAGCGCCAATCTCCTCCTCTCCATCCCCTCCGTGCTGGCCCCCATCAGTGCACGCCAACATGACCACAGCGGCCGTCTCCCTGCCTTCCGTCTCTCTCCACTCCAGGCCGTCCTACACTCGGCCATCAAAGGGACTCCAGAGAGCATTGATCCGACCTTGTCAGCCCCCACTCAATATTCTTCAACAGCTCACAGTCCCTCCAAGATCGAAGACAAACGCTCAGTTTGGCATAGAAAGCCTTTCACAACCTGCCCCTCCACACACCTGACGATCCAGCAGCACTGGCCTTCCAGCTGTTCCATCTCCCACCACCATGTCTTTGCCCTGGTTGTGCTTAGTGTCTGGAACGTTCTCCCTCTCTGTTCTGCTTCCTGGCTTCTCTGGTTTCCTTTAAGACTCCACTCAGAGCCGCTTTCTGAAGGCTCTCCTTGCTGGTTCTCCCCCTGGGCTAGCGCCTTCCACTGAGATCACCTCCCATTTAGGCTTACCTATATTTTTGCTCCTTTTTCCCCTCCATTAAAGTGTGGTTTTGCTTTGCTTTGTATCCCCAGCACTTAGCCCGGTATGGCCCAGTACAGCTCAGTACACTGCTACTTCAAAGGCACCTTCCAGGCAACCTCCATGACGCCTTCTCAGTCAGTCCAGTCAGTCAGTCCAGTCAGAAGGCTCTCCTCCTCTGGATCCCTGGCACAGTTTGTTTTTCTCTTTCGTGGCATTTAGATAAAATCTCTTTCCTGTTTTGGTGAGTTATGGGTGTCCTCTTCCCCATCAGACTAGGCTCTCCTTGGGACTAGGCCTGAATCTTGTCCAACTTTGTATCTCTCATAGCTTTGACATTTCCCGGCACCCAAAAGAGCCAATAAACGAATGAAAGGTCAGGGAGGGGATAAACTTCCTCCCGCATTAGCGTGGGGCTCTTGTGCATCTAGGGAAGGACTGTACGGGGAAAAGGAACCACATACTTACTTTAATAGGACAGTCAAAAGTTTCATGAAATTCTTCCCCAGAATACAGTCCAAATACTTGCACCTAAAAAATACAAATGGATCAGTCAGCTCATCTTCCCTCCCACCGAAGATCACTGAGCGGGGGACAATGCATACTTTCATTAAAATGTGGAGAACACTGAATAATTCCAAGGCCTTTGCAATTTCCATTAAAGAGCTTATGAAAACAATTTCATCACAACCAGCTTCTCCACTGTAATTAAGTTTTTACAAGCACCGCACAGACAAAGCGGTCCCTTTGCTCACCACAAATCTGTTCTGTTGAATGGAAGCGACCCTTTCAAAATGAAACAGATATGAATAAGTTATTAATATTCCTTCACTGCCTTCCGCAGACTATTCCTAAAGGGGCCTGGGTTGATGTGAGTCACAGATCCTTGTGCTTTGAGGGCACAGAAGAGACAGCAAGACTGACTTTATCAATTTACCCCGAAGATCAGACCACTCTATTTTATTCACCACCTGTCCCTTTTCTACAAGGTCTTCCTCCAGCTTCAATTAATTTTTGTTTAATTCCCAAAAGGAAATAAAAATATGCAAAACATGTTATGCCTTAATCTTTGGGGGCCAGACTAATACAGGAAAAGATTAAGCTTTAGGAATCTCAATGTAACCTTGTTCAATTTCTGTCTACTACACTTTGGCCCTCATGCCATGGAGTACAAGACCCAAGTTAGTCGAGGCAAGTAGCATTTACCAAAGGATGACAATGTGCCCAGCGCTGACACACTTCCAGGATATGAGGTAGGGTGGAGGAAGCAAACACTACCACCAGGCTAAGCTCCCTCTAGCATCTCCCCAGCTCTGCCTTCCTTGTCTCCTCAGTGTCGGGAGCCCCCAGAGAATGCCCACCGCCCTTGACCATGCCGCTTGGCCAGGGCTCTGCAGCGAGTTGTCAGGGCGCTGAGATGTTAGGGGACTAGCTGAGCTCCCCGACAAAGCCATTGTATGTCACAGACCAAGCCTGAACTCAGGTCCTCCTGGCTCTAGGACTGGCTCTCAAAGGCTCCTAGCTTGTAGACATTGGTTCTGTGAGGACTTGGCTTTGGTGGGGAGGGGCAGTTACCTGTAGGAAAGGAGGTAGCTTCACAGAAGCAATGTCAGCGGTAGAAGGCATACCTCTGTGTGGCCAAAATTCAGACTGATGAAAGATTAAACAATTTCCAGAGGCCTGAAACCATGTCTGAATGTTTTCTGTTCTTTTATCCCCTACAGCACTGGATCTGGCACCCTGAGAGCTGGTCTGGGCAGGCCCAGTCAATGATACCCAGCAGACTAGAAGTGCCAGGGCCTGACACACTCGTTACGAGGGGACCCCGGGGGTTCTCAGTTGAAAGGGAAACGAGGGAAGGACTGGGAGAAGCAACTGCCTTAGTGACTAAAGTGTTTGTTCCCAGAAAATCTCCCAACTGCCAGCTGGAGATTTTGCTAGAGATGACAACTCTCAGATGAATCTGAGCATTGTTTCTCAAAGGAAAATTGAAAAATCTCCTGTCCACAGCTGGAAAGAGTGCAATCCATCTCCCCAGAGGACGAGGGCGACGGCAGAGTTCTGAGTAATGTGAAGAAGGGGAGGACAGTGACTGATTAGAGGCAGAAGCGGGGTTCAGGAGCCCACTGCCCTGACCCCGCCTCTCCAAGAGGCTGAAGGAGCAGGTGGGCTTGGGAACTCACAGAAGCTGGCCTCCAAGTTTAAAGAAATCTCAAGCTTTGTATTTTTCTTCTCTCTTCTTTGGGCTCCAAAGGGGTCAGGTAAAGCAATTAACTCCATGTCTCTGTTTGTGAATCCGGCCGCTCCCGCGAAGAGTGTGGCTCTTTTAAGCAAACTGTTTGCTATTTCTCTGGGTTATTATTAAGCCAAGTGAAGAACAAAGATTCCCAGTAGGCACAAGGTCTGAGCTGGACTGGTCTCAAGGGAAGGGCTGAAGGAAGCGACCGTGGGGGATCGGGGGGGGTGGCGCTAGGTGGGTTCATTTCTGGCCAGCACACAACACAAAGCTTTATGTTACAGCGATTCTAGGCAGGTGAAGTTCCGTGGAAGGGACTACCTGGGGAGTCTGGGAGCTCATGTCTGCACTTGTCTATCACCCTACAACTTAGCAGATTACTAAGGCCAAAAAATCAGCCACCTGAGGCGGGCCAGGTTAGTTAGGCTAAAGCAAAACTTTTTTTTGGCTACTGTGACCTATGAAACACAAAAACACAAAATAGTTTCTGAACTCCAGGGAACTCTTTCTGTCAGTGAAGAGACAATAACTGTACTTCTCACTTCTGCACCTCTGGATGGCTATAAGTCCCAGAACACTGGCCTTTGACAACTTAAAATGATAAGTTCTCCAAAGGGCAGGGCAAAGGGGATGTGATTCATGAGCAGAGGATAACCATCACTAGTGAAGGCCACGCAAGAGAAGCACCACAAAGGAAGTATCAGAGGAACGGATGAAGAGGGAGGCCAGTTGCACACACAGCAAGGGCTAACCAACAGCTGGTCCTTGCACTCTACTGGGACCCAGAAACGTGAAGTCATCCAGTGGATGGTCCCAGCACATGGGATAGACCTCTGGGACTGTGCTGACCTGGGGCAGAGATGACAGAAGAGAAGAAAGTACAACTGGGCTGCAATCTGCCCCTTGGAAAGCCAGCCAGGGATGTGGTTACAGGAGCACAGATGGACTGAAGCTATGGAGAGCTATGGGGTTTTCAAGAAGCCTTCATCCATACAACCTCGGTGCATGTGGCAAGGATCATCACCTGCGTTTTACAGGTGAGGAGGCAATGAGAGATGATGAGCCAATAGATATCAGCAGGAAAGTAAGTGACTCACCAGGACCCCACTAACCAAGTATGGAAGGCCCAGGACCCCAAGCCCTGCTCTCAGCATTTCACCACAAAGCCACTAGTCACAAAATCACTGAATGTGCAGACAGACTAGACTCTCATCTAAATTTCTGATTTTCTAAATCGGAGATTTCTGTCCATGACTAGCAAGGTCACTCTATTGGATGAACTTTACCACATCTACGTGGACACCATAAATGAAACCAGGTGAAACGATGCCCCTTCAGGGAAACGGAGGGCAGCTCACGGATTCTCCTTGGAGAGGCAAATAAAGAGGCTGGAATGCAGCACCGTCACCGGCCAAAGACAACGAACGAGACAGCTGCTCTCCGGGAACCCCAGTCACCTGGGGGCGTAAGCATGAATAAGCACTTATCTGTTACAGAGGGCAAAGTCAGAGAGAATGTTTTTTTGAAGAATTTCAGAAGAATCTTCGAATCAAATAAACCTCTACCTTGATATTCAGTGACTTCAATGTAAAGGTAGAAAACAATGAAAAAATTGGAATTAAGAGGCAGGAAAGGCCAAAGGCTTGTGGACTAATCAGAAAGTTATATAATGAATACTTATTTCAAGGGGCACATTAAAAGGTGGGGGACAGTAAGCAAGCACCAAACAGGATTCACACACACACACACACACAAAATGGCATCATAGGAAACATGATCATAGGTTTAGAACTGAGGCCCCTTACGAGTCCACTGGGTGCAAACCTTTTGTTTTATAGATGAGGAAGAGGAGGCCCAAAGAAGGCTAGTGACTTGCCCAGGACCACATAGCTAGGGTTTGAAGCCCGATCTTCCTGACTAGAAGTCCAGTGGTCTATTTCTACAGGGAACGCCTGGTTGTTGTCATGGGAGTCCACTGGCAATTAGCTCGAGCAGTCGGGTCAACAACTACTTGGGACAAATGAAAACCAAAATCAAACTGAAGGAAAGACAAAAATGAGAATGAAGAACAACAGGCGATATCGGGAGCCACCCTGAGGGAGCCATAGCTTCCTTAAGAACATGAAGTGGACAAAAGCACTGACGCTGACTCTGGGACATGGAACCAGGGCAGGGTTTGGAGTCGAGACCCGAGACCTCGGTGAGAATTCACACGCTGGAGACAAAAGAGGCCTCAGAGGGCCTTCTCAGTGATCCCAGGCTGTCTGCCGCCAGAAGAGCCCGTACCTCAGTCAAAGAGAGAAATGGAGACGTGCATGCACATAAACACGCAGTGCCTGCACACACACACACGTGAACATCTGTACGTGTGTGAACACAGGTGTGTGTGCATACACAGGTAAGTACACACGTATATTTTCTGTTGTTGTTTATCTGTTTGGCCACCTGGCTCAGAAGTCTGGTTTCACTGATGGTTCAGAGGGCTGCCTCAGGCCCTGAGAGGTTCGGTTACTTGTCTAGAGTCACAAAGACAAGACCTTCTTTTTAATATCAATATTTTCTTGGCATCGCTGTGACTCGTGGTATCAAACTACAGGTCGGATAAAGGCAACGTGACAACGTATGTACAAACTCAGCCGGGACAATCAGCCGTGTTCCCGGAGGAGCTGAGTGAGAAGCAGGTGGGATGACAGCATTCTAGTCAGATCGCCAAACAGATCTGCTGATCATTAAATACTAAAGAAGCCGAGGAAGGCCTCTAGAACGCCGGGCAAATCCTTTCTGGGAATTTTCAGGAAGAGATAGCTGGGAATTGCAAGGATAAGAAGATGTGGACTGGCGGTAACACACATGCGGAGAAGGCGACTCCACCCCAGCGACGTCCTGAATGATGGCCTCCTTTGGGCTCCTCTATCCTACGGATGCCCAGGCCCACCTCTTTTCCTCTGTCTTTAAACTGATGCTCAGGTAGCCAATGGTTGCAGCACCAGCGGAGTGACCCAATAGATGTTAAAGTGGTTATGAATTCCTGGTGACCTGAGGGCTTCTCAGGGCTTGATTCTTCCAAAATATATCCATTTGCATTTATGGTCAAGAATACATTTATTGAATCTATACCTAGGCTGCTGTTTCTCTCCAGCACTGCTCGCAAAACACACCTCTCCTGTGTTAAATCCTGTACTCAAGGGAGTCTAAAGTCCACGTCTAAGAAACATATGTGTGAGTTAACACTACAAGGAAGACAGGAGGACCTCCCTGCAGCAATGACAGCGCTACAAGCTTCCAAGACTAGGCA